TTAGGTATGATGACTATTCCATTTCTTCTATGTTTTTCTTGTCCTCAGCATATCTTGATGTTATTCTGATATGAAGTGACCCATTTTGGTCCTTTGCTGTTCACTGATTCCAAAAATGTTAATGTTCTATCTTGATTTGCTCTAACATCATCACATTTATCTTGGTTCCTGGTTGTAACATTTAATATATGGATTGCATACGTATCCTGGAGCATCAAACTTTCACTTTGGTTCTGGGCATATTAGTAGCTGACATCCTTTCTGCTTTAACCGAATCACACCCAGTGCTACTTATATTTATTCTCTGCTGTTCCTCAGTAGCTTTTTGGATACCTTCAATCTGGGGCTTATCCTGCAGTATCATGTTGACATTGTCCTGGTTGTGAATATCCATTTAGTTTTCATAGTAAAATACTGGAATCAGCTGCTATTTCATTTTCTAGTGAATATTCAGCTGATAATTTGTTTATGAACTCCCTGCCATGGGTTACCATTCATAAACCTCCAAAGGTATAGCTCATAGTGTCATGGGACATGCAAGCCCCCTTCACCACATAGTCCATGGTGGGGCTTAAATATGCCAGTTGAAAGGAGTAGTATTGTCCTATTGATTTTAATACATCTGATCTAGGCATGACTTAGTCTGGACTCAGTCCAATGTACTTTTCTCTCAAGGTATGTCAAAACCAAAATATATACTTGTGCAGCTGCTTGAAGCATAACATATTTGCTTACAAGCACAAGTGTCACTCACAAAAAATTCGTTACATACATCAATATAAAGTATGCCCCTTTCTACAAACATAAATAGTAAAATGCTTATATTCTTTATAGCTAATGTGCGTCATGTTGGCACTCCTTTCCTCTGAAAGCTTATCAGTTTTGACCCATACGTTTTGTAGAACAGGATGAATGTTTATTTGAATGTGAAGGGATGAAGGGGTGAATTTCTGATATTCAAATAGTAAATAATAATTATTTTTTAAAATATTTAAATAATGTACAGTGCAAAATATATCTCAAAGTTATGCATTTCATTTGAATATTAAGGTGAAAGGTTGAATTTATGGTATTCAAATACTAAATAGATAAAATTTATGTGCATTGCAAAATACAATTGTCAAAAGTTTTAAGAGAGGTACCATTTATTAAACAGAATGTAGGTTTGAATGTAGGTCAATCTCTAGTAGAGAAATTAAACCAGGAAACAGACAATGGAATTGTGATCCCACTGATTCTTCTAGACTTCTTAATATCTTACACACCAGGGTTATCAATGAAGACAGTTGATTATTCACTGAAGTGGAGAACTTTGTGAACCAATCAGCTCTGCTTTGCTTCTTTGAATGGGATTGTCTTCCCATTAAAGATCAGCTTCATCTGTGATTAGATTTATTCATCATGCTACCTCAAAACTAAACATATTACATTATGGTTTAGTGCAATGGGGACATATCTTTGAAGATAGTTTGGAAATTTAAACCAATATGAAGAAAGATGATTAGATCACCTGATTTTTTGTAAAGTCCTAAATAGTAAACCTATGCAATGCTTTAGATTTGACGGTGCAAAAGGCTGCCATGTGTTCCCAGTAAAAGATGTGCCCTCTTTAAAGAGTTTATTTATTTAATAGGCCGCTCAACTCCTGTATGACTCTGGGCAGCTTACACCTAAAAAAAGCCCCCAGCCTAAAAATTGAATACCACAGACCAGAAAAGCAAAATACAAAGACAAACAAAAACAAATAAAACAAACCAAAAAGGGGGTGCAAAAAGAGAATCTCTTGCAGAGTTGCAGACAAGTGCTATGTTCCCATATGTTCCAAAGCACCATTTTGGAACTGAATCCCAGCCTGGAAAAATATTCCAAAATACCTTGAAAATCTAAGGACGTGTCTTCTTGTTTCTACTGCCCTCACACCTTTGGGTGAGGCCTGATCCACTATAACATATATTTCATCATATAGCCTTCTACAGCAGTAACTGTGGAATTCTCTACCAAGAGACCCATATAATGTATTGCTAGATTTCTGAAAATGGGCAAAACTAAAATATTATGTGATAAGGGATGGGATAATTCAAATACATTCAAAATGGCTATATGTCACAAATCAATTTTATTAATTTAAACGCAAAATGAATGGAGGAAAGTTTCTGTACATAATGGTTGACACAACACACTTTTTGTACAATAAGGCCCAGACAAACTTTTTAGTCAGCATATAGACTACCCCCCCCAAAAAAAGGGAGGGGAGGAAAAAAACTCCATTCCTATTTTGCTTAAAACCAAAAACAAGCCTCTGCAATTAAAGGACTCACATGTCTGCTTAACCACAGACTTAAGTAGTCCTTGTGCTGGCTTGCTTTTGGTAGATCAAGTTACTGAAGATGAAGGGCTATATTTATAATCAAATAGTTTGAAATAAGCCACAAAATAATGTAAACTGTAGCAGCAATATGCATCCTCCACAAAAAGGGGAGTTGCCCTAATAAGGCTGTGCGAAGCTTTGATTCAAGGGTTCTATTTGAGGGCAAATCATCAAATCAAATCAAACTTCCGCACAGACGCCTATTTGGATTTATTCAACTAAACCTACAGATCATGGATTTGAATTGAATCTTTAAATCAAATTCCAAGTTCAAGTTGGATCTTGGCTGAATCACACACCCCTATTGCCTAACAGCTACTTTGTTGCTATTAGCTGGCTTAAAAGCTGGTTTATTCCACAAAAATAAAAATCTAGAAATTGGGAAAATATAACTAAAATGTGTATTTCTAAGGAAGCCAGCAGTGCCTGGTATTAAAACTTAGGCCAAGAATTTAGACTCATGCATAGACTTAGGCAAGTTTTGGTGTAACAAGGGCTTCATTTAACTGTGGTTATAAACAGGGTGGGTCACAGGGGATTACACATATTTTCCCATCCTGTGCAATTTCTCCTTCCCATTTATCAACAGTTAAGAATCCTGATTAAATCTGGTGTTGGTATAATATAGTAGGAAATAATTTTTTGAGGAAGATACAGGATGCATTTGTTATTAACTCTGGCCAAGAAAGCCACACAGATTTATCTAAACCAGCTCAAAATAAAACTGCCAGGATTGTCACAGTTTAGTAAGAAAGGGTAGAATTAATTGAACAATTACAAACAATTAAAACAAAATTGGCAATAACTGTTTTACTGTGTCCCATTGCCAGCAATGGACCAATACAAAAATCTGATTCATAGTGTGAAACGGTTAAAATTAAGGATGTACCAGACATTTGCCATTTTTAATTTCATTTCAGGCTGCAGGTTTACAAACAAAATCATTTCAAAATGCTTGCAGGTTTTTTAAAGTTTACAAATGTTAAGAAATATGCATTGCCATTTTTTTCAATCTATACTATAGCTTCTTATTTTAAGTAAACCACCACGTGGCTTGGGAGATATTGTGCCGTCACAGTAGAGTTAGGAAAGGTTTGGGGTTTCTGTTTCTGTTTCAGAACTGCCCATCTTAAAACTCTTAACTCCGACTGTGTATGGCCTTTTCCATAGCAGGTATTAATCAGGTTTCGGCTGCAATCATTGACATGCTTACTTTGGAATTAAGCCCACTGAATTTGGTACTGGCAAGATATATAGAAGATGGCTGTTAATTTTTTTTTTTTTGCAACAAATTGATTATTTTCAAAAGAGCAAGACTAATTTCCATAGTCAGTATGTATTGACTGAATCCCAAAAAGCATTCCCTGTTATACTTTAAAATAAAGTGGTTGATCTCATATTTAGCCTTTGAGTGCATAAACATCTTTTTTATTCTATTAAATCATGATACATTACATGAGGTTATCTTTTTAAGTTCTCTATATTTCTGACAAAAAGAATAGATTATTACTCCACATTCAATATTTTCATGAGAAGACAATGACTTGAATGCAGAATATTTTTTTCATTGGCGGAATTCCAGTAATATTGCTCCTGACAGTAAAAGTAGAAATAGGAAGAGGCAATTTTTGTCACTATCTCCTTTCTCCTAAATTCCTGTTCTGGAACATCTCCCAATCCTTTGGAACAGATTTTTGGGGTTGCAGGGGGAGAAATAATCAATAAAATTTATTTCTTCTATTGTATCAACATCCTTCCACGGACAGAAACTGTTCAGTTTATGATTCAATCCAGTAAAATAAAGGAGCAGAACACTGTGCTCAGTTTGCAAGCAGTACTAATACATATGCTTCATATCAGTTAGGAATACATTTTCATGTGTAAACTGCTACTTTTCTTGGCAAAGTACACTGAAACAGTGGCAAATCAAGCCTCCATGCGCAAGTACTTTAAATGAAAAGTGACAATTTAGCCATGCAAATCTTTCTCACCTGATTTGAATGAAGTATATTTTGCACTTGAACCTATGCATTCAAGTACAAAATATAAATGAGAGGTCAGCCTATTATAGGCAAGGTAAAAATAGGGAGTTGATATTGTGATATAATAGATTTGCAAAGGAAAAAAACTAAAAGAATGAATAAAAAGTGATTCCTTATTGACACTTGACAACCATGGTTTTGGTCTTGACAAATTGATCTTAAAAATTTCAATTTACACATTATACACAATACTTTTATAAGGCACAGCACAACAGTTTGTGCACATACTGCCTCATACTTCACCAAAAATCCATTACTACCATTCAATAATATTTGCCTAAACAATATGTAAAACATTGTCCATTCGTTATAAATTTACACAAAAACATTCTTCCTGTACACGATTGTCTCAGTGATGTACTTATTTGCTTAAATTAGACATACTTCAATCTACTTTGCAATGTGCTAAGACCAAAATCTTTTTGTGATCTGAAGGCAATGACCTGTTATAGCCTTCTCACATATTGTACATATCCACATTTAAAAGAAGATGCCAAAACAGAATCTGTTCATAAATAAGTAAAGATTTACAGATTACCCTGGATCTGAGGAAAAAAGCAAGAAAAAAAGTAAACCTTTAAAAATGTGTCCATGTTTTTTTTTAAAGTTCAGTCTTAGTTGTGCAATCAGGTTTGCTGTATTTAAGATGTGTTCATACCACATTGGAGATTCTAGAAATCACAAAGCACTTCCCGGTCTCTTCACAGGTATGAACGTTTAAATGTAGTGAATGTGGTAAGAAGACATTGCTAAAACATTCTCATCATGGCTTGTTCTCATTGGATTCACAGTACTAGAATGAACAGCTGTTTCTGAAGAAAAAGATGTGCTCCTCCATTTACTGAAAGGGCAAAGGTTAAGACCAGTTGCAGCTGTACATCAACATGATGAAATCACAAAATTCTATAGGCCAGTGCTGAAACAAGACTCAGGAACACCGTCCACGGATGTGAGGGAGGTTCTGAGGTTACAAAGTGCTACTATAAGTACTCCAGTTCCAAGGCATGATGAAGCGCCATAAGGTCAGAGTGGCTTGAGATCCTCCAGAATGGCATGGCATGCTGTGAGCAATACAAACACATTGTAGGGAGACAACGTTACATGTTGTTTTATTATCATAGCAGTATTTAGCTATTTCATACTGGAGACCAAGTCAACAAGAATGCTAGAACACTGTCAAAAATGATCAAGCCCATAAGAAATGCATTGTTAAATGTAAGCAAAGAAAAACATGTAAAGGCAGACCACATTGAAACTGAGAATGTAAAATGAATGCAAGCTTACTGTGCTAAAGGCCCTTCTATTCCCCCCCTTTTTTTGTAAGTATTATTACAAATATAGCTCCAAACAGATTCCATCAGGATAATGCTTTCTATTAACAATTCTAGTTTTTGACAAACACAGATGCTGAGCCTAACAATGGAGCCAGGTGCCCCTATGGACAGTACACAGAAGCTGTAATGCCTAAGGCCATCTTTCTACCCTCTAATCCAGTAACACTTGAGAAAAGGAGTAGAGGACTTCCAACATAAAGAATTATGCATTTATTCTGAAGTGTGAAGTACAATGAACTATCCTTCCAATGTAAAGTCATACTAGGAAAATAATTTGCCATGTATTTCAATATATATTCCAATTCAGGACTAACGTTCTGAGATTCCTTTGTTAAGTGACTCTACGTTAGACCTAGCATTTCTCTCAGGTTTCAGAATACAATAATCTCAGAAATAAACATGAAGGGCTTCCATTAAAAAAATGCTGAACCAATTTAGGATGGGGATTTATAAATAGCTTCTCAAGTGGAACTTCATAAAGACGTTATAATGCCAACAATATCTTTAGATGCACTAATTCTTGTCACTTGTACCAGTGTATAAAACAACAAAATAATATTCATAGTTGGAATCCAATGAATAAATGACTAAGTGTTGCTATTTACAGTGAGTTTGTGTATGTGTATGTGTGTGTGATTGCCAAATGTCCTTTTAAGCCACAATACTTTACATTCCATTTAAATTCCACTCCAGAAGTTTCCATGACTATCACAACCAACTGTAAAATGGGAACAGGTTGAAATAAGAAGATGGGACAAATGACCTTGTTCATACAGAAATCCATATGCAGCCCTGGGAATCCTAGCAAAGTTATGACTTCATCAAATTCCTAAAAATAAAACTTACTGTTTCTTTATCTGAACCATTAATTTCTTAGACTGGTAATCTATTAAAATCCCCATCAACATGTATCTCAGCAGTCTAATTTGAGAAGCAATTTGGAAACACTTTTTCACAGTAGACAGGCAGGCCATTTTGTTAAACAAACAGAAACAGAATAGAGAGAGAGACTCTAAAATGATTCATTTGGTCACAGTATGATGATTAATGTATTGTTCATTACCAGAACACTTTCAGTCTTTCTGTTGACAAATAAGTAGACTAAGAAAAATCAAATATCATTATGCTGCTAAATTATATTTAACATAATCCTTTCATGAATTATTGCTTCATAATATATTGGCACTGGTAATGTTGACCTTCCAGCAAGGAATATATTAAAGATAAATGCATATATTTTATTCTATTACTAAATGAAGAAAAGAAGTGAATCTATTCCAAACATGATATATGAACAAATTAGAGACATGAACAATATGAAAACACAAACATTATTAAGGCTGTTCTTCAATTCAGCACAAAGGCTGATCTCAGAGCAGATTGGGTAACATGAAGTAACTTTTAACTCACTTAGGATAGTCATCTATAATGTATCTTGTGTCAGATTCAAAATCCTCTACAATTCCATCTTCAAAATGTAGTTCTGGAGCTCAGTTTGGTGACAGCTAAAAATGAAATCTATGATTTCCAAAAGGGACAAAGTTTTACTTTCATCACATCTACCAGCTTTTTTGGTCCCGCTTTGCTATAATGTGAGGGATCTTTCTGATGGCTTTTGAGCCTACTCACTTCATACCATAATACATGTTTGTAGATATTTTATGGTAACAATGCTGATAGCTATTCCACAGCTATTATATTCTGAAGCTGCTGTTCAGTAAAAAAAAGGCCAGCTGCAGGCTCAAAGAAATATAGTAGCTTTTTGAGTTTTATAACAAATTTGGGTTTATAACAAATCTAGCTTCTATCACCACATTAAATATAGTTATCAAGCTGCTTACATGGCTATATATTAAATATACAAGAAAATATGAATATGTAATTTAAACATATTTGTAGTTAATGTAAATACCACCAATGACTATATAAATTAGTATCTTCTCAACAAGTTCTTAGTTGCTATCATGTTGTGCCATTTTTATATTACAGATTTAGTTCAAGTGATTGTTTATAACAGTTTTCTTTATATGGCTATCAGCAAGAAACTGTTATTGGAAATGAGAAAAATGACAACATAGACTACAATTCTGGACATAGACTTATAAGTATCAATAAATATTCTAATATTAAGATTACTAAATTTTTAGCTACAGCAATTAATTTGAATGGAATATTAGGAATGAATGTAGTTAGCAAAACAAGTCTTCATGGCACTTATCACCCCGCCTAGGTTGGACCAGGCCAGAAAATGAACTCCACAGGAAGACCAGAACTACACTTTATTGAGATTGGCTATAATAATGGAATCTTGCAAGTCTAACTGTCTTGTTCTTCCTCCTCCTTCTTTTACTCCAATGAATCAGGGAGATGCTTGTGTGAGCTTCTTCCAAATATTATCTTGTTTCCCAGGACTTTAAAAATGTTTCAGCTTCAGGTAATGGTTCTTGTATATTTCTGTCAAGGTCACTTGTCTGATTCTCTACAGCACCTCAAACCTCCCGTATCAGTAACAGATCTTACATACTACAAACTCACAAAAAGAAACTCCAACTCAAAATAACTATTTTTATAAATGAATAATCCCAATATTGCAATTTGGGAAAGGCTAGGCAAATAACTAAGCATTATGATAAACATTAATAATATTTAGATGTAGTCATTTTCTGGCATGGTAAGCACACTATATATATAAATAGATAAAAAAGTTCATACATCATGATTCTCACCTGCATCAATTATCCTGTGAATTAGTCCAAATAAGTTGTCTCATTTATTATTACAACATGGCCAAATATTTTAATTATCCAATTGCTATCTTCCAATCCTGTATACAGTACTGATTCTGAATACCATTCATCTACTCTCCAATACAGAATATCCTAGGCCCTATGCCATAATATTTTAACAGCCTATTTGAGTTAGTTTATTGGCAGGAGAGATGACACTAGACACATCCAGCTGAAGAGCAGCTGGCAAGATAGCTGCTTGTTTTTTGACTGTCAGCTGGTGGTTAGGGTGGAACTCTGACTTGACCACTTGAGCCAAATAGCAACTGGGATTGAATAAAATTAGTTTGTGCAGTATGTAAGAGTACCTCGCTTAAATCCTTTTATTTTAGTTTGGGTTCTGACTATTCATACAGCAATGGAAGGAACATTTGCAGTTCTTTAGTTATATAACACCAGCCGTGTGCTGTACATATGTTATAAATAGTGCTGCCCAGCTCACATCTCCCTGCAATTTCATCCAAGCTTAGGTCAAAAGAATAGAGAAGGTGCATTTGCTATGATGGGCAAAGAGCCAGCATAGTTTGTTCCTTCCCCAAAAGATCAGGGAGAACTGGATGAAAATCTCCCTGCTGGTAGCCTTGGGAGCAACAGATCCACAGGGTGTCCTTTATTATTTTGGCTTGAGGAAAAACCACAATTGAGACCTTTACGTTGGAGGCATATAAATATAGTCACAGACAGCTTGAAAAGTAGTGTTTTTGAGGTGAGGTAAGAATCTGAATGGTCACAGACTTAGGAGGATGTTTTTCTTAGGCATGAATACATATGGTTACCAAATTCATTGTTGATATAATCCCATTTAATTCACTGTTGTTTTGCCAGGAGAAAATGTGGCTGCTGCCTTGTGTGCTAGGCTGGAAATTCCTTCCGGCAACAAAGAACACATGAAAGCAGTCTTCCCGAGGATGATTCATATTATTTATTTATTTCACAAGTGTAATAGCTTTCTTAGCTTGCAATCCTATATCCAGTTACATGAGAAAAAACTTCACTGAACTCATGAGAAACATGACTAGGATTGCACTGTAAGTTGTACTTTACATGAGGGCCACTTATTTATTTTTTTAAAAAAATGCTTATTTAAATATTAGCACCACTTTAAGTGCATCGTTGTTTTACCAAGGTAAGTTTCTCTATCATTACAACACAAAAGAAATGTTGTTTAGATTAAATATAGAAATGGATTACAAGGTAAATATTTGATTTTAAAATTTATACATTGAGGCTTAAAAATAAAGCGATTTCCAACAGTTCTTCTCTAACAGTTTTTTTTTCCCTGAAAAGTAGCTATAGCAGCTGCAACCTGAAGGAGAAGATACCAGGTATCGCTTTAACAACCTACTCCTTTCTTCATCAAAGTTTTTCTACTTAAAATTACCCCAACCAATTTCATCTAATGATGAAAAAGATGTAAATATTTATTAAATCTCTCAGATGAAAATCAGCATGGGAACGCATTTAAGAACCAGAAGTGCTAGGCCAAGAAAGGTTAAGAAGGTATGCAAAGAATTCAAAGCCTGTAATGATATGAGCTCAAAACAGCCATTTTGACTGTTCTAAGCTTGAATTGAAGCACTTATGTTCTTTATTATATTCTGACAAACATTTTCTTTCAAATGACATTGTTTTAAGCATTTCTGGCTGTTTTAAGCACTCAGATTTTACTTCTGTTTAATGGGTTGTGATTGGGTTTCTAGCCTAACCAATAAAGCAGTAGGAATCGTTCCTGCTATGCTTAGGCTGGGTAGGGGGATGAGAGGTGAAGTTTAAAAAAAAAATTATTTAACGTTTGACACTGCCCAACTCCAAACAACTCTCAGTGGTTCACAACTAAAAAAACAATATAAACCAAAACCAATATGGGATCTGAGAACAATATACAAATAGAAAACAAAAACGCACCATCTCAACCATCTCAACTCTGGGAGAATAACCAGGTCTTCAAGGCTTTACAGAATGCCAACAGGCTGGGAACAAAATGGATTTCGGGGGGATCTCATTCCAAGTCTTTTAAATAAAACCACCCAACCACCCATGGGCTGTCTCTTTAGTAACTGCAGGGCTTTATAGGTAATAACCAGCACCTGGAATTGCATTTGGAAGCAAAGTGGCAACCAGTGCAGTTTGTGGAGCAGTGGTGTCCCATGAGCATATCAAGGCATGCCCATCACTGCCTGCATGTTTTGGATCAGCTGAAGCTTTTAAGTAGTTTTTAAGGGCAGCCCCATGTACAGCGTAATGCAGTAGTTGAGCCAGTCTAGGGCATAATGAATCACCCAGTCCAGGAAAGGGCACAACTGGTGCACAGATGGAACTGAGCAAAGGCCCCCTGGCCACAGCTGCCACCTGCTCTTTGAGCAGAAGCTTTGAGTCCAAGAAGATCTACAGATTGTGTACCACTCTTGAGAGGGGGAAGTAGTACTGCATCCAAGAGTATGGATGGAAAGTCCTCAGATCCAGGGGCCCTAATATCTACAACCACTCAGTCTTGATAGGATTGAGTCGGAGTTGGTTCCTCCCCCCATTCAGGCCTGCTCAGCCTCCAGGCCCTGGGACAGGGTCTTAAGTTCCTCACTTGGCCAGTCTGGGGTATGATTGGGTATCATCATCAGCATATTGATGATATAGTGTCTTAGGGCTCTGCTGCTTCTGCATAAAGACAAAAACATTGCTTATACCTTGATATAGTTTGATACAGTTCTGCAATTTTAAAAATCTATTATGGAGAAATTAAAGTTGGTGTCAGAGTAGATAACGTGTCCAGATAGGCATTATAAGAATGCAGGTTGCATGTTGTAAATGTAAATACAACATCTAATACTTGTTAATGATTTGGGTTGTGTTGGAATGTGTCTGTATTCTTTGGATGCTCTTATGCCCTACTGTAGTTGAGTTTAAGGATGTATTAAAATTTCAGTAAAATCTGTGTTGATTTTGACTGATTTGTTGAGCTTTGGTATGTGAACACTGTGCAAGCTCTTGTATTCTGATACTGCTGAACTTCATTTATTCTTTAAATACAGATTTTGATGGTTTGTAGAGCCTTGGGCAGCTTGTTTTTAAATTTTTGGGGGCTGCTATTAAGTTAATGTTATTACTCATGCAAGAGTAAAACACTGACATTAGAATTTTTGCAACTGTAATTTGCAAACTGACACACAAGGAGAAGTATGCAAGCTTTTGTGTATATCTTGCATGTGACTATGCAGGCTGCAAAATCAAATCTGTCATTTGAACTTTTTATATGTGTGTGTGTGCACGTGTATTATGTGCCATCAAGTAGTTTTCAACTCCTAGCGACCACAAAGAGAGATTTTCTCCATGACTATATGTATATGTGTGTGTGTGTGTGTGTATGTCTATATATAAAATGAGACGGTAATCCACACTGATTGCTACCTGCTACCCAAGCTACATTAAAAAAGAGCCAGAAATCCCCATAGAAAACAAATCTTTCCCATCTTGTGCACATCTGCAATAAAGAAGTCTTTCTTCTCTTACTATCTTCTGCTCCAGGCATCAGCTACTACGGCTGCTTTTCAGGAAAATTAGAGAGAAAGCGTCAGAGAAGACAAATATGTACATTACCTGTGAGCTTGGTCCTAAGAGAGAATGAAAGAAACTGTTCAGTGCAGTATGACTAAAAGATCATCATTTTCAAAGGAAGGAAGGATAATAGACTGCATACTAGTTCACCACTACAAATGCATAGTCCTTGGAACAAGCATGAAGCCACCTGTATGTATATATGAAAGCAGGAAATGTTTATCTTTGGTAAAAAAATTTATTTGATCTTGAGATTGATTGTTAACATACAATTTCATGTTATTTGTAAGACCAACTAGTTCATAAATTCTGAGTGGTTTAAAAAAAAGGCACAAATTTGACTAGGTCTTCTAAGTGGCCAAAATATTTGAGGCAACATATTAATTTGGGGGACTGGTGATTTCTTTTAAAATCTTTGGAGAAGTGATTTTTATTTTCTATTTTTGGCTTCTAAGTGTATAGTTTTCTTATTTTATTTACAAGGTTTATTTATTAACTAGGTTTATGAGTTGAAGCAACTTAAAATTAACAATCATGTATAAAGGTGTAAGTTATACTAAACATGATGGGGTAGTATATGTAACAACTTTCTCTGACTTGATAGCCTCCCTATGTATTGGACTGTCCTTCCAATCAGTCACAGTCACTATGGCCACGCTGGGGGGACAATGAAGACTTTAATTAAAACGATGTACAATTTATTTGAATAAACTATATAAGGTTTTTAAAATCTTGTCTCATTACCTTCTTTGCTCCTTGCTCTTCTTCCACACCATCTCCTATGACAACATAAACTACTTTTCTTCCAAATCTTTGAATTATGCGCTCAAAACAGCTTTCTTTTCCTGGAAAGTTCAAGCATATCATCAAGCCCCACTTTGGGAAAGAATACTGCAGTTTATTTTAGTTTAGAAATCAATGAAATGGTTAGACACATTTGCTTTATACTGTGAAGTAATTATCATTAAGGATATAAGTGGGCAACTGAAATAAATTTTCATGTAACAAAACCACAGATAATAAATGAAAGCATAATAACAAAACATTTAAGGATCCAGGTCAGAATTACCCATGCTTATCAATAATGTTTACTTCTAAAGAATTATATCATCAGTTTTAAATGCTCAATGAGATTTTGGATTTGGAACTTGAATAGTATGTTCTCAAAGTTCATGGGAAAGTAATATTTTTGAAAATAAAAGTTTAGTCAAAGTTGCTCCCAATATGGCATAAGTGGTTGACTGGTAAAAGGAAAACAGAGGGGGTAGAAAAGTAACTTATGGCCAAGCCTGAAGTTGCTCTTAACTCATGGCCTATGCATGGACAAAGATTTAAATTAATTTTAATGCCTCCTACTATTAAAACATGGTAGTGACATTCAGTCACAGCAAATTCTGCAACACAAAGCAATATATAATTATATTTGTGCATTAGTCAAATAGATACTAAAGGTTAATCATTAAGGCAGCTCATTTAAAATCAGAGCATCCAATAACAGATTCTGTTCATTGTAAACGCTCACCTATTTTTGTTGCACTGTAAATATTTTCTATTGGAAATACCACACCCAAACCATATAGCAAGACTTTGGCAAGAGCTGGGATAAGCTGAGTAGTTGTTACTAAAATATTGACACAATTTGTCCTAGAAGAAAGTAAAGAAGTATTTTATGATGTTAATCAAACAAATACTGCCACACTATAAGCAAATTATTATTTTCATTTTAAAACCTGGAAGGCAAATTTAAGTCTACAATTAAGGCTAGGAAGAGTTCATAGATGGAGAAATGGTATTCATATGGAAGCCAATATATAACAACTAGGGTTCTCTAGTTTCTGCTCTTACTATGGCTGGGTTCTTAAGAGGATTGATACTAGGATATATAAGGCAGACCATCAGTGATGGATATATAAAGGTAGAGATTGTTCTCAAGAATTGATAGAGGAGACTAAGTCCACTATGGTATTAATGCAGATTCTATATGTGTATTACAGCATTGCCCCCCCCCCCCGCCTTCAAAAGGTAACATGAGGAGTTTTCATCTATTTCAGTGTAGGGACATATTCTCCAAAATGGCCTAGGACAGAGGATCTCATCTGGTGGCACTGGTGGAATGCAGGAGTCTAGCTGGAGTGCAGGTATACTTGCTAACTGTTCTGGAAATCTGAGTTTTCCATAGCATAGAAATATTGTGTCCAAATACTGAGCATTTTGTAATTGGTTGGACATATTAAAAGTTCAATGCTTGCTGTAGAATACAGAATGTAGTGCTACTTGGCAGGAACTAAGAAACTGTGGATCAGGACTGGGAAGGGACTATGTGACTGAGCAGAGCGGTAAGAGTGGAGTCATACATTCCTTATCGAAGAGGAAGAGGAAGATGAGGAGAGCCATCTAGGAAGAAAGAAGCATATATGTTTATATGCCAACTACCTGCTGTGAAACTCATATATGCCCAAAGATAACACCGTAAGCCTCTGTTTGGAACTTGGATTCTAGCAGATGTTCCAACTGTTAGTGGGTGGGACAGACTGGTGGGAGGAAAGCTTGAAAGTCTGTAAACATTCCTAGCTTGTCTCCTCACCATCTTGGCAGGCAGTGGAAAGAAATGTTGTTGTTGTTTAAAATAAACTATATAGGGCTTGACAGACAGAAGAGGACCTTTTTGAGCTCTAGCTGTAATCATGTAGATGTTCTGCTATGAAAAAAGAGGTATTTTGTTTCTAACAAGGTGAGGCCTAGGTTCTTTACTGGACTGCTTGGTGGGACTCCTGTCCTTATGCCCCCTGTTTCACATGCATGGGAGGTAGCACTCATGTTTTCTCCTCTTCTGTCCTTGGTATGCTACTGGTGTTGCAATGGTGCTCCTCTGACTTTGGTTAATTATAGTTTAGAACTGCTCTGTATGCATCATAACACAGAAACGGAGCAGTTATATAATGCAGTACAATAGAAAAAGTGGGAGTGAAGATTTATGAAACATATGGATGAAGAAATAGTAATTGGCCAAATCTACAACAATACTAGGGCTATTATTGTGAGGAAAATGGTAAGTAGGGAAGTGTTCTGTACATCACCTTGAGTTTTAAGGAAAAGACAGGCTATGAACCTAATAAATAAATCTAATGGATTAAGAGTTAAATTTTATTGCCACCTTGTTTGGGATGTGGAGAAATGATCCTATATTATCAGTTAAATGGTAAACTTTCTCTTCATCTGCCATTACTATAAACCTATCTACTATAGTATGATGCTGTAGGGAAAACATGAAACAATTAATGTCCATTTTTATAACAACATTGCACATCAGTTGACCATTTTTTTAAATGCCACATTTTAGAAAGCTATAATTTAAATTAAAATAGCTATTCCTAGCAGTGCATAATGTATTAATTATAACCCACAGAATATTGGAAAACGTATATTTACATTATAGCTCTGTTAGTCTGCATTACTACCCCATGTGAAATCTACTTACCTAGAATGAATTAATGTGAGTGCTTTCAGTGCAAGTGTTAACCACGAATCTGTAAGGGCTTCAATTTCTGCTCTAAGCTGCAACCAGGCTTCTCTCTTTGCTGGGCCCAGAAGACCTGCCAGGGGATGAGTGAGGGAGAACAAGCACTGTAGCATTTGCATTTCAATTCCTTACCATCAATTTCAATTCCTTACCATGTTTTACAGTTCTACAGAATTTACAGCTGTAAGTAGGTGGGGAAACATAACCATGTTTAAAAATCTCATACAGCAATGAGACAGTAAGTACATGGGAAGTGATATGATAGATACTTGCCTCCAACATTATTTTTGTAGGTGTTATAGATTTCTTTTACCCGTCTGTATCGGAAAGCTAGCTTTCTCATCCAGTCCACTCCTCCACGCACCCCCGTTGCTAAGCATAGGTTAGCACTGGTAGCTGCTGCAGGGAACCCATCTGTCCCGAAGTTATAGGTGCTGTTTTGGTTGTAAGAAAGTTTTAAAAATTTTCAGACTGTTCAAGATAAAACATAACTGAATATTATACTGGCAAAAGAACAGAAATAACAGTATCTTGAAGTGATTATAAACAAGCAAAAAATAAACAAAAGCCTCTACTTTTTCAATCACTGTCTTCTATCACAGTTTAGATTTACCTTAAATCCTGGCCATTATCATCTGATGAAACATCATCAATATGAACTTGGTCACATTCCTATAATGGGGGGGAAAATCCAACATATTTACTTTAATTTGCCAACTGCAATACAACAAATGCTAATAATTTTTAAGGGCATGCAAATCAACAATCATATTTACTTTTTTATATTGCTATAACTGAATTGATATAAATTATTTTAGTTACTATTCTTAGAATTTAGAAAAAAACTGCATTTGGAAGGGAAATCGTTAAAATAATTATCATCTACATTCTTATACATTTTCAGCTGCCTTTAAGTTTTAAGCTAGTCAAAGGATTTTCAGGCAGCGCATATGTATAACTGGAACCAGACATTTTGGTAAATGTAACTTATTAGAAAAATTAAATCTGATGCTAACCACCAATGAAACTATGACCTCTGATTGCTGTTGAGCCACACACTAACACAGCCTGAGGCCAATGTTTTAGAAGACTGTAGACAAAAAAGAAAAAGTTATTTGTTTTCCACTGTTTCTGTCTCTTCTGAAAAGCGCAAACCCATAGTAAAGCAGAAACACTTTAAAGATTTACAGAATGCTCTATTTTACTGCTTGAAGCCAGTGCACAGAACAAGTCCTTCATATTTATAAGTTGGTTTATCTGCTTATAACTGTGAAAATGAATATACATTATTTATCTCAACATTAAACATCAGAATCACTATTAGTTAGTATTGATATTTTACTGCTGAAACTTTATTTATAAATAAAGCACCTTTCAGAATTGTGTTTAATCTAAGTCTATAGCTCATTTGTTTTAAAAGTCTCCACTGCTTTTCTTAACGTGAATACCAATAGCAAAGGTGATCCATTTGTACAGCCCTAATACTCCAGAGCCACATATTTCTGTGTTACTGGTTCTCTCTGAACAATTTTTTCACTCTCTCTATGGGCTTGGAGGGAGGGAGGGGAGCTAGAAGTAGAAAGAAACTCAAAACAGCTGTTCTCTAACAGAATTAAAATCATGACCCCTAACCTTTTTTCTAAAACATCTATTTCTCAGCCAACCCTCTCCCAGCAAGCAGTGAGTTCCAAGGAGGAAAAGACTTTGACCCCATAACCTTCTTCCCCTCTCCTGAGGTCAACAACCTCAGATAAGAAAAAAACAAAGAATGGCCTCACATGATGACTATGAGCATAAGTCTTTTAAACAGAGAAAACACAGGCTGCCTTTAGAATAGCTGAAACAGCATTAGGACCTAAATCCTGAATAGGAAGGATGAGAAAAGAGAGCTTGGATTAAAACAAAACAAAACAAAACAAAACTGCTACAATCTGTTTGAAGTTCAGCGAAATCAAAGGCACAGACTTAAAAAATAAAATTAAAATAATTATTTTAAAAATCGCACATTTTTCATATGAAGTTTGTTTCTACAATTCCCTAGATTTATTCTGATTAGAAGTGGATTTTACACCTAGTTGGAACAGAAATCAGAAACAAAACAGAAGGAAACTTCCACTGTCCACGACATGTTTCTCAGTTTCATGCCAACAACTCTGCACTGAACTAACAGTGATTTGATGCAGATAGACATTCCCATCACCAATAAAATTAACAAAAGTACAACTGCTTGACCTTTACTTATATGCATTCATGAATGTGTGCACAAACACACATACACACATTGCTTATTTATCCTGATTTACATTCAAATTTGCAAGCAGAATAGTTATTTAGGATCAAAACAACAGTATTACTGGGAAAGCTGAAAACAACAGAATAAAGTCAATATAAAAAGTTCAAGAATCAAGTTTATTCCACTGATATTTTTGGGACCTTCCAAGTGAAGAAGAAATAATTGTATTACCTACAAAAGAATCAGCATTTTCTGGAAAAGGAGAATACTGAATTAAATTCAAAGATTCCTTCTGTAAAAGGAAGGGACTTTAGATCCAGTAGTGCTTCCACGTAAAGGGATTGGAAAGGGTACAGCTTTATCTGTTCCCTTATCCTTGGAGCTTCTGGGTTACATCCTACACTGTTTTGGACAGCTCTCAAAGACTCCAACGTAAGGTTCTTTCTGCTGAAGCAAATGAAAGAAGGTGACTCAAGACCAAAAATGGCAAAGAACTATGGATTCAACCCATTTTTCTTCTTTTCTTCCCTTCTCACAAGAATTTAAAAACTCGCTTTGAGAAATTAGGATTGTTGTTTTTAAAGATAGTTGCTACCTATATTATAACCTATATTATTATTACTAATACTACTGTAGTTCTTATCTTATTGTTTACAATAAGTGAAACAAATCAGAGCAAATACTACATTCCTTAGGGAACAGCTACAAATAGCTTATTTTTTTTAGCTGCTTATGTAGGTTATGACTGCCACTAAACCCAAATTTTCTAGGCCCTGTTATAATGGAAACCAACATTTTCCATGTCAAGATAGATAGATAGATAGATAGATAGATAGATAGATAGATAGATAGATAGATAGATAGAT